TAACTTAAAATACATCATTTAGCTAACTCTGAGGATGCAAAATTGATAGCATTCTGAACTTCTTTGAGGGCATATCTGCTTTCATTCAAAATATGGTGATAATCCTTGCTTTTGAGTATGATGCAGTAGAAGTATACAGGCATGGAAATAAGTAAATCCAATACAGGATTATTTAGGCTTACACATTGAATATTCAAAGTGTGCCACCCAATCCTATCTGTAATGGGTCCCTCTCATGAAAGAAAAGTTCTTTTACCAGAATAGGGAAGGAAAGGTAGATGGACAAAATCAACCTAATTCCACCACGTACTTTTCATTTTGTCAGTATCAATGATAAAACAATTTAGTTAGGTATATATTCTTAAGGTACAGGAAAATGTAAAAGTTGCTTTGCTAAGAAAATCAACAAAAATGATGTTTTTTGCTGATGAGAGTTAATGGAATCATAATTATAATTTTATTTAAAACCTTAGAAGGCTCCTTACTAATGAAAGCTGAATTCCAATAGCAGGTTGATCCCGTACTGCCTACTCTCATATTAGACACCAACTTGAACTGGTTTTGATGCCTTTAAAGATTACTTCAAGTCTCCCTCCCTCCAGTAAAGCTACTTAAATTTATCTGCAGGAAAAGGCTGAGTAGGGGGCCAAGGAGGGGAACATATTTCAGAGCAGAAAGCCAGTGACAGAATAATGAAAATCAGAATCTGAAGATATTTCATATATGGAATTCTAGTCCCATTTTTCAGGCAGATAATTTAAAACATTCAGGAAAAGTAAGTGTGTAATCCCAGGACTTTATAATTCTCTTGATTAGATCACAGGACACATTAAAAATTATATTTGTGATTTAAATTTAGGAACTTCGGAAGAATTAGTTACAAGAACTAACTCAAAGCTGTAGAGATGGTGGCTCATTTTTTTTGCACAATTAGAATGTGTCACACACTTTCTAAGTGCTTTGTGATAGCTTTTTATTTACTCTTCAGAAGATCCTCATGATTACATACTATCATCCATGTTTTACATTTGGAGACAAAGAGGCAAAGAGCTGCATAACTTGCCTTAGGTAACATAGATAGCAAATGGTTATATTTGATTTTAAATTTAGGGACTTGACTCCAGAGTTCTCTTAACCATGACACTGAAGACACAAAACCCCGAATCGGAACTGCCATTTGCTTATAAATGTTTACACCTTCTTAGTATCAAGTGACTGAATTATGAAAAGGTAATGCGTTTTTAATTTTTGCAGTAGTCATTTGAGGCATTGACTTTCTTAATAAGAACCTCTAAAGGGGTAATGGGTGGCTGACAAGAATTAGAGATGGATTCTGCAGCTGAAGCCATAGGACTGAGTGAAAATAAAAGGTCCATAGCAATGAATTTGTCCGGTGCCCAAAGTTTGTTCTAAAGGCCTGTGCATATAAATAACCTTGGTTTCACTATCATCTGTACTCTGAACATTTTTCTGGATCTCTGTGTTCTTAGATGTGTATGGTTAGAAGGCTATGTACATAGGCAAACAGCATAAGTCACTGTAATGGAGTGAGAAAAGCAATGCATTAAAATTAAGTATTGTATTAGGTAAACAAATTCACTCATTTCAGTCATGTAAAACTAGCTAAGTTCTGAATTGTAGAAAGTTAGGGAAGATGCCCCATCACATCACAAGGGAAAGACATTTTCTTAAACTTAAAAAAAAAAAAGTTTCTGAACTTTAAGAGTGTTTTAATGAGTTAAGAACCATGTGTAAAATAATGATGTAAATTATAGGACTTTTCTCCCAATGGAATCTCTAACATACATAGGTGATCTATTTTTGCTTTGTGAGAAAATTTTGTGAAGTTAGTTGAAGTTCACGTTTTTTAATATTTTTTTTCTCCTAAAGGAATTGTTCTGAGTTCATAAGGTGAAATTTATAGATGTTATTTGTTTTTAATAAGATATAAAAGTATGTAAGCATCTTCAATATCATAGTCATCCCTTTGCTTATTTCATTTCATTCAAAAAACACCCTTTGCTCACTTCCTATATTGTGGGGACAACTGACCAAACACATAGCCTTTGCTTCCAAGGAAGGTTCCAGCAAGGAAAACAAGAGGTCATTAAATAAAATTATGCTAGATATAAGCATATAAAGAGTCCTGGGGGTGGGGGGGGTGGAGTTAGCTAGACAAATAGAAGAGATGGGAAGGGGTCCATGGAGAAGGACTAGGATTTGAAAAAGCCTGGAGCTCAGACATGGCACTGGCCTGTTCAGAAAACTTGCTCAGTCCCCAAGCTTTCTAACTTGTCCTAGCCTCTAAGCAAACAATATCAGCATTGGGATTGGGTCTCGTCTAAATTCCAGTATATCATGGTAGTTCAAACAGCCATCAAAAGCTCTTCTGATTTTCCCCCAGTAAAGTGCTTTAGTCCATGTCAAGCTAGATCTTTAGTCCATGCCCAGAACTGGCAGATACCCCCAGGAAAGAAAAATTGGTAGTTAGAGCTATCTTGGAAGAACTCAGGGGCTTTTCAGAAGTACATCTTGTCTTCAGTGCTTCCACAGCTCTTTGATATCTTTAAGATATTTTATATTTCATCCATTTTTTTTTTTCTTAGTTGTTGCAACTGGAGCGATTGTCTGCCAAGTGCTACTGCATCATCTCTGGAAGAAGTCGTCCCTGTGGAAGGGTTTTTAAATAGCACATAACACGATCATATTTAGGAAGAGCATTCTGGCTAAAGTTGATATAATTATGATTTTAAAAAAAGGAAGTGAGGCAGTCTGAAAGGAAGTTTTTGCATAATTCAACTAAAAGATATTAGCACATAACACGATCATATTTAGGAAGAGCATTCTGGCTAAAGTTGATATAATTATGATTTAAAAAAAAGGAAGTGAGGCAGTCTGAAAGGAAGTTTTTGCATAATTCAACTAAAAGATATTGCTCGTCTGAATTTAGAATAATCACATTGGGGATGCTGGAAGAAGTGGATGAATATAAGAGTTACTGAAACAATAGACAATAAAAAGAGCAAATGACTCCACAAAGTTAAAAAGTAGTGACAAGAAAAAGGTTAAAATCTATTACAGTATTGTAATTATTTCTAAGGTTACTATTTTACCCTAAATACATTTCTATACTTGAATGTTCCAGGGTAAATTGATGGTTTTGAAATTCTGAACTAAATATGAAAAATATTAAAATTGCATGTAAATTAGTGTTACTTATATCCTCAGAGAAGAAAATCAGAAAGTTACAAAGATAAGAGGATTACTATTTGTGAACTGTAGTGTATTCCAGAATATTGCGTACTTTTTTCTGTTCAAAATAAAAAGTTCGTATAACTGGATTATCTTACCCTTTATAAATGGAGTATATCCTGATGTAAAAAATTTCAAGCAATTCACAAAAATAGAGTACAATAGGTTACCTAAAAGTTCACCATCCCAACGAAAGAATTGTTGAGCTTTTGTTTACTATCTGTGTATTGTTTTATCACCTTTTTAATTTTAACCAATAAGACATGGACAAGTTACCATATAAGTGCAAAATGTATATGTCAGTTTTGATTGTTTTTATATTATTATACTATGTCAATTGGTTCCCCATTGATAGTTTGTTACTTAATTTTTCACTATAAGAATGTTCAGAATTTATACACGTATTACATTTTACATGCTTTTTACTTACTTGTTTCCTTTTATACTACACAAATTATATTAAACATGTTTAGATCTTTTAGTAACTTAAATCATTTCATTAAAAATTGCATTACAATAGGAATTTGTCTTATTTAAATTTGAGGTTTAAAAATCGGTCATAAAACAGGCTCCTGCCACTATGAAAAACGAAATATTTCCCAGGTATCCTTAAGAGAAATATCTCTCACTCAGGAGTTGGACAAAGAATGAGAGAAGTGGGAATAATGATTAACAGCTTAATTCAACTAATCTCAAATGCTTGGGGAAAAAGTTTTTAAAAAAAACCAGTTTGTGTGTTAAACAAGTGATAGCACATACCCAATATTCAACATCCTGGATTGATTACAGTGCCTGCCACTTAACCACTTGTTCTGTTGCTAATGATCAGGTGTTCGTTAAAGATAAAAATAAACAAAATAACTTACCAATTAAACAATAAGTTGCAAAGAAGTTACTATTTTACCCCAAACTCACATTTCAAGTCATGTATGCTATTTTGGCTCTCTTCAGGAAAGCTATCAGCAGGAAGAACACTCTACAAGATATATTTAAACCTTTGTACTTTGTCTTTAGTGATAGTGGCATTGGAGGGAGCTGATGCCCAGAGATATGTAGTGATGTAAAGCAGCTGGATAGTAGTGAAATATGACTCACAGGTCTTAACCCCATCTTTTCTACAACAGTGCTTCAAGGCAAGTTAAAGCAAAGGTAGTTCACAGTGTACCTTCAAAATAAAATGTTGTACTAAGGTAGTATAGTGTGGTGGTGAAGTTAATTCTTTAGATTTGAGAAAACCAATTATTTTACAAAAATATTATTTATATGCTTTATAAATAACATACCTTATTGCATTTTTAAGAATACCCTATTACCTATGTAAGCAGAATGGAACCTATTTAAAATTTACCTTGTAACTCAGGGTAATTGCTATGCGTACCACTTATTGTGGGGAATCAGTGAGATTCCTTCTAGTAATATTGAGATGTATAGGAAATGTTTGTCCCTAAACTAAATGCCCCATTATTTTATTAAATTTAACCATATTGTTGGCCAGGGAGAAAGGGTAATGGGTAGTTTCTCTTCACAGTCAAACTTTGAGTAGTTGCTTCTTATTTTACTTAGTGTGCCTCTCTAAAAAAGCTCTTCTAATTTTTGATTCTCAACTTTTTTTGGTGTAGTTGAACAATAAAGCTTAGTGAAACTTTCATCATAGTTTATGTGTAATTCTGAGTCACTAGGCTCTGCATAAAAATTTGCAGATGCTGATATGCCTTTTTTTTTTTCCCTCCCCTAAGTAACAGACTTTATTTTTATAACAGTATTAGGATTACAGAGGTGAGCAGAAAGTACAGATGGTGCTCATGCCCTCCCCCCACAAACATACACAGTCTCTCCTATTATTAATATGTTACATTAGTGTGGTACATTTGTTACAATTAGGAGCCAATATTGATATATTAACTCAAGTTTACATTAGGGTTCCCTCTTTTTGTTCTACTGATATACTTTCTTTATAGAAGTTAAGTATGAAGATTTTTTGGCAGCTATTTTCATCACCTATCAGAGTTATATGTTTATTCACAAGAGTTAAGGTTATCAAAAGTATGAATATTATTGACTTTTGTTCCAGACTGCACTCCGTGGTGATTTCAGATGAGAAGGTATGCTATTCTTATTTCCTTGCCAGACTTGTTATTTCGTTTTATTTTTTGTAATCAAATTTTATTATTTTAATTGCAGAATAATTTTTATACAATAAAATGTACACATTTTAAGTTTGTAGTTTGATGAGCTTGAAAAATGTACACACCTGTGTAACCACCACCTAGATCAAGATACAGAAAACTCCCATTTATCCAAGAAAGTTTCCTCATGCTTCTTTGCAGCCGTCTTCCCCCACCTATCACTTACCCAGGCAATCACTGATCTAATTTCTATGAACAGATTCATTTTGCCACTTCTTCATATAAATCGAATCATGTACTGTGTACTCTTTTGTAACTAGATTCTTTTCCCTCAACAATATCTGCTAATAATATTGAATGTATTGACAGTTCTTTCATTTTTATTGTTGAGTAGCATTCCATTGGATATACCACAATTTATCCATTCATCTGTTGATAGACATTTGGGTTGTTTCCACTTCAAGTTTCTGTGAACATGCATGCAGGAGTCTTTTGTGATCTTTTTGGGGGTGTGTGTGTGCTTTCCTTGATTAAATGAATACCTAGAGGTGGAATTGGGAGGTCATAAAGTACGTATATATTTAACGCTGTAAAAAATGGCCAAAATAGTTGTACCATTTTACATTCCCACCAGCAATGTCTGAGAGGTCAAGTCCTTTGCCATAATTTATTTTAGGGAATTTTCTGCTACTTTCTTATTCTGCCACATGACAGGAGTTTTTTGTTTTATTTTGTTAGATTAACAGTATGGCAGTGTAGTTATTAATTTTTAAAGAGTCAGAAAACTCTTTGCAGATTAACATGGTGGAAGTCTAAAATGAAAACATGACATGAAAAGGAAGATTTTAACTCTGGATTTATGACTCATCACAAAGAAAGATAAACTTTAACCTCAGACTTCCCACAACACCTTTAACGGCTAGCCACTTGGCTGACACCTTCCTATAACACTTCTTTCAGAGTCCCTGCTGCTGCTTGAATTGTAAAAGCTGCAATAGAGATATGTTTCTTTACTTCTGTCCAGGCCAAATGAGGGTCTGCTTTATTTTCAATATCAAACATAGCATCATAAATCCCAGGAAATGATTCTCCAGCATATTTGTTGTGGCTACTTGGAGCAAAGATGATGTGCCTAAAAAACAAACAAACAAAACAACACACAAAGAAGGTAAGTTGAACTAAAGAGTATACCCATATTACACTTCATATATTTTTTGTTTATTAATTTCCTTTTGTTAGAACACATTATTATATGTTCCCTCCTGATGTTCACTTTTGTTACTCCATTGGGGAGACATATATAATTGATTTGAGACACTTATGCAAAGGTATAATTTTAAGCAAAGAAAGGGGCTGGACAATATACAGTTGTTAAGATATATCTGCAAAAATCATATACCATGTTGTCTACCCATAGAGTTGAAAGAAAGTAGGTTCTTCCAGGTAAGTTGTGAACAACCATTATCTAACTGCCTGGGTATCTACAAACAGGGAAATAACATGTATGCTTAATGGATATTTTCAATGAGAGAGGAGATTGAGTGATAATTCGTATTGCCATTTTTAGACATACAACAAGACTGACAGTTTTCCTAATACTTTTTAGACATTAAAAAGCAATAATTTGAAGAAACATGTATGCCCAAAATACCATAAATGGCAAGGATAGTGAAGCCCATTCCACAAGGTAAAATGGTTATATATGGGCTGCCCACAAAGAAACAATTACTGATCTAGAAAGAAAGTTCTACAATTGCTTTCCTACTTTATCACATAAGAAGCTTAAGAGATCAAACTACTTCTTTTCCCAATAAGTACGTGGAATTTTGCTTTACAGAAAGGGATATATTTTATTAAACACTCATCAGGAATTAGGTCGAACAGTCAAATCACAGAGATTATTCAAGATGTAAATCTACTGTGTGAGACAATATAGAGTTCTCTATGAGTATAAGCCAATATTAATGATCAAAGCAAAATTTATAATGCTAATTATTTAGGTTTCCCAAGGTCCATCAGGATTTATCACTCTTGGCTTTTCAAACTTAACATGGCCTCAAATGGGTCTTTCTTTATTAAAATCAGTATATATCCTAAACTATTTACAAGCATTGATATTCTGACCTGTATACAAATCAGATTAAGTCAGTTAAGTTATAGGTATTCCTTAGTATATTTACCCTCTTCTGGAGGATTGTTAAGGGAGAGTAAAGTAAAAAAAATTATTAATATAGAAATCAAATGAACCTTGTTTGAATCATTGATCTGGCACCTAATACCTCTGTGGCCTTTGGAAAATCACTTAACTTATTTAAACTTGTCCTAATGTATTAAAAAAAAAATTGAAATAATATAGACTCTGCCTAGAGTAGTGACTAAATAGTTTGCGGGGTGAAATAGCCTGTATTTATAAATCAGAATGTTATCACATTTAGCTTGTGACCTTGAACTCGTTATTTAACCTCCCTGTACCTATCTCCTGATCTTAAAAATGGGGGTGATAATAGTACTGTCCTCAGGTTTATTGTGAGAATCAAATGATGGACAGAAAGCATTCAGTGTAGCTTGACATTCAGTAAGTCTTCAATAAATATTAAACTATTCTGAGGCTAAATCTGTTCCATAATTCTTTCAGGTAAGAAGCAGGCACCTGGCTAAAAGAGATGGTCAGCCAATGGCCAATGCTTAAGCAATTCAAATACCCTTTCATGAATGGTGAGCCGGAATAAACTATTCTAGCTCCACAATTTAAATTCTGGTCCAGTTCTCAAGGTTTCAAGTGTATCATGATATA